GATTCAGATATATCTTTAATTTGGTATGATTTGTCAATTATAGAAATTGTAGCGTGTAAAAACGATCTTAGTTCAGCATCCGTAAGAAAGTCAAATGTAATTTTATTGCTACGTATTAATTTATATACAGTGGCCAATGCTGTCGATGAAATTGGAAATATATCGGGTTTGTCATTTTCGATATGATTGTTTGCTTTGTACTGTAATGGTTTTTGTATATGTGCTATTCCATGAAATTGATCTCTAACAAGATGGGTGGTATGATCTTGTTCTGCTATGTATTCAAGAGATTGGTGAAGCTGGAGCATTTTTCTCATACTACTTCTAATCGAATCAAAGATATAGTTGCTGTCATAACGAGGTAAAGCATTGAGTTCATCACGAGATGGTAACATTGATGAAATCTCTACTACATTTGGATATTCTGCATTAGAGGTAAATTTACAAACATTGGTCGATGGCGATCTAATACATGCATCCTTGATAGGTACAATTGAATAGACGACTTCTTCTTCCAGTTGAAATGAGTACGTGCCGATGCGTTGGTGTACAATAGCCTTCTCTACATTAATATAAATATCAGATGTTGTTGAATCCTTCATCTTTTGAAACGGCATTGGTTCGATCGAAGTTATGGGCAATAGAATGACCAGGAAAAGAGAAGAAATGCTCGTGACGAACGAAAAACAGACAGGTAATGTCTATTGTGAATTTGATCTTCTATCTATTTATATTTTTCTCGTTCTCTTATCTTTTTCTCTTCTGTACAATCAGTTAGATTGATATCTGTTCTGAAAAATCAATCATCCATTCCTATAGGTTCAAATTGAGTAAACTTTTTGTCTATCTTGTGATGTTAATATACTTTCGCTAAACAAATCCGCTTGTATTTGATGAGAAACAACAAAATAGATTCGACTGTAGAAATTACCCTCGGTCACTAAACTGTTTTGAAGAGTGCAACGGCATCACATTGCTGAATCGGCGATTCAGTATGAAACTTTATTTCACTCAAGAGAACGTCTCGTATTTATCTATATTCAGTACACTGTTTTACATCCACTCTTTCATTTTAATCCTTTTACAATGTCGGACTGAGGTACACATAATTAGTCATGAGTTATCTTATATGAAAAAATTCATTTTTGCATTTGTGCTTTAATTTTTATTTGGTATATCAATCAATGAAGCATGATAAACAAAACAAGATGAATAACTGGTTCGACCACTAAACATATGAAACAGGATGTATCGACGCATATGATCTAAAGAAAAAAAATGCGATAATAGTCAGTTTAATGCTACTCTAATTTACTCTACAGATTAGGAGGAGATTGTTGTTGCTTGTTGTTTATTGACTCATTGAAGAGCATTCGTTAAGGCTATATGCTGATCTACAATGGACGGTGATGAAATTATTTTCTATCGAGTAGCAACTTACTTCGTTGTTGAGTTGCACGACGACGGTATTCCTTTACTGATTTGACTTTAAACCACGATTTCTATGAAAATAAGGTAATAGTCAGTGTGTAGGTATAAAAGAAGAATTACCTTCAGACGACGGCCGTTATTGACCAATTTCTTCAAGACTTCGGCAGTACACAAAAGGGCTACTAAAATTATTCCAGCAATGAGTATGTGAATGTGCGCGGTGATCGATGTGGGAATATTGGAAATTTTCATATCAGTGGTTGAATTGGTTGAGACATGAGGAAGACTGATGGTTGGTGCTGGTTTTGTTTATGTGCGCCGAAGAAAAGATTTGACAAAATCGTCGAAAGGTGAAAAAGTTTCAGCACAGATAAGCTACATTAGAATATTGGCTACATTAGTTAATATACTAAATGAATTGCATACTGTAATAGTAAGACCGTAGCTGAGCAAGACAAAGATAAAAATTTTGAAAAATATCAGTCAGATTTAGTGCAATGTGTTTGTGTTGAATATTACCTAGGAATGATTAAGCAGAAGACGCTGCTCAGGTTTTATATCTGAATATCAGACAGCATGCTTAATTATGCTGCCGACCAATAAAGAAATCATTACTCACAGTATGAATCTGTTCATTCAATAGCTCGTCGAAATTATACCAGTTTCGTCAGAACTTAGTCATTGTTGATGCATTTATTCTTTTCATTTAGCTAGAAGATGCAGATTTCTATAAAAATTGTGTTATGGTTTAAATTCTACATGAAAATATTATCTAGTCCAAATTTTCAATTTTTACTCTTCTCAATCAACCTTATCTCATAAATACATTGTTGAAAGAAAGACGCATATTTTCAATGCGTTTGAAACTAAATAAAGTCACAATAAAAAGTAAGCATCAGTTCTATCAGATACACAGAAGAACACATGTCCATTCGCAAAAAAAAAGTAAGGACAGTGTAAACAACGATATGCAGAGAAGATAACCAAAGTTCAATATCATCCCGAACAATTCCATGTGATATGTCCGACAAAGCGCAACTTTAAAAAATAAAAATATTCATCCTCGATAATATATGACCTTCGCCAAATGCTTACATGCATACTAAACATATCAAAATTAATTTATTTTGTTCATCGGAATGATTTTTCATCGATGAATTGTTCTGACTGTGTATGAGGTTTTAATTTTGACATGTTTTATGTTGACATTGAATGTGTCAAAGGATTTAAGACAGATCATTTCAACATAGAGTGAGTCTATCCATCTTCTATGTTATGAATTATCTGTATGGAGCGATCAAATTGTGCAAACTACATCCGCTTGTTCTTCAATAACATTGATTGTATCAGTATATCCTATCGTTAAACAAGAAATAAAAGATACGCAACATGTGTTAAATCTATTTTACACACTCTTTGTCGTAAGAAATGCATCAACTGATAACATCTGATAAAAAAAGCATTGATTCAAATCAAGATGTAATGTTTTAAAGACATTTCAATTAGATTTAAAACTTCAAAATAGCTTCTATATAACATTTTAATGAAATAATTTGATTTCAAACAACTTGTTAGACTTCTGCAGATTTTTCCGGTGACAATAATCAAAATAAAAATGAAAATGAAAATGTTTGGTTTGATGCATTTCGAACTTGAAGGTTGTTCAATCGTGACATTCTGTGAAAAGAAAACAAATTTTGATTCGTCATAGATAATATCTCTTCCTCGGAAAATGTTCTGTAATTGATTGTATAAATAGCGATTGTTTCTATCGAATCATACTAAAATCCAGAGAATATATTACTGCGTTGTTTGAGGTAGCTAAAACAAGACGGTAATGAGCAAGTCGAAAAAGAAAGATTATTGGGCAGATGTAGGTAATGGAGAGGGTTTTCTTGCTGCTGTCGGCCAACTCGGAGCGGATTATAAACAACTGGACGCCAAAGGTGAGGGCTGTCAAAAATCCGACGGTGTATGGGGGCGGTTGGCAGAATTTGCAAAACTTGACAACAAAGCAACGTACGATGCACGACAATGGCTGTACACGATGTGGAAAGGCGATCAACGAAAAGTTCGTACAACATTTTTAAGTATACAAGTTACTGACGTTTTGCCAGATGGTTCACACGAATCATCTGATAATATTACCAACAAAGCTAGTCAGAATAGTGACAAGGTAAGCCTTTTTGATATTCGCTTGTTCTTTTATCGAACTTCTTTGCAGTCTAATAAGTAATATAAAACAATCGAAAAGTATCATCGCACGACTAGTAAAATATTTCAGAAATAATGCTCCACAATATGCATGTATGAAAATAAAACATCTTTTATTTCACACGTTCAAAATCAGTACTTTTCTCGATTAGTCACATTGATGACTACACTTCAAAGCTAGACATTTCATAGTTGAGGAGAAACGTCGTCATCTATCAAGAGATTATTGCATATCTTTAATAAACATTATGTTTGAACGTTTGTATTGCGGCGAGAGTTAAAAGAAGCTACATCAAGGAGAGAAAATGATACATTCACTGTTAGTGTCTGTATAAGTATGATGGTTTAAGCAGAAGCAAAGCCAGTTTATTGTTAGTTGACAAGCTGATAGAACGCGAGACATAAGTTCCACAGAAAATATGCATTGATCATTTGATTGAAAAAATAAATCATCCAAACTTTCAGATAGAACATCGGCAAATAAAACGAATAAAAATCATCTTTTTCTTGATTTGTATTTAGACGTCGAAAATTTCTTCGTTGATGACAATGCCATCACTTGAACCGGAAAAGTTAAGATCAAGAGAAAAGAGGATTCCGCGTTATGTATATTATTTTACGATGACATATGACCAATGGAAAGCTTTCTATGATTACAGAACAGGAGATGTTCATGCTGGCTGAACTGAGAGAATTGTTTCACACCTATATAAGCTTGGCATCACTTGTACTATCATTTTTCGATATCATCATAATCGACTATTAGAGTCACCAAAACAAAATTGTACATTATTCAGTGCTAACGGATATTGTAAGGTAGAATTATGTCCTGTAACAGTAGATATTAATATTGCATCTGAGCCAAAGCAAAAGGGTGATCCATCGGTTTTTAAAGTCGTGATTGTTGGTGAGAAAAATCACAATCCGAAACAGCAAAAGGTAGGTCGGCCAATTACAGGACCACTTCGAGAAGCGATCGGTATGCTACTTTTTTCATATTAGATATTTCGTAGTAGAATTGATATTTTAGCGAAAGAGGTGAAAACCATTGGAGCATTAGGTGTTTATGAACGAAATTTAAGACATGCTAACGAAGAGTTATTGAAAGAAGGAAATTTCAGTGAAGTTCCTACAAAGGAAGTATTGGACAAAATTAAACAGGAATATGACAACAAATATCGTCTTGATGAAAATTGCTACAAAGAAGTACGCATGTTCGCGTTTATCACTAGATATAGCGACGCCCATTCAAAAGAAGTGAAAGGTGAGAATTTTCACAGCTATGTGTATTTGACCTCGATAAAAATTTGATTGTTCTTTCTTGAATATAAGACGGTAGCAATACACATTGCGGCCATTTGATTCTATAGAAGGCAAATACTGATAGCTCGAACGACTCATAGCTTTTTTCAGAGATATTGTAATCTAAAATTGTATAAACGTCTTTTCTTACAATTTCTAGGATTTATACAAACCATTGGCGAATGGCCATTCACTGTTCATTTTTTCACCGAAATACAAATTGATCGATTTGTTAAATATTGTCGGAGTGATAAATACTCTTGTTTACATATCGATGCTACCGGCTCTGTTGTACGCAGTTTAAAAGATCAGAAAGACGTATTCTTCTACTGTCTTGTCTACCGACATGATGACTCTTCAATTTTACCACTTACCGGAGCACTTCTAACCGACCATACAGCTGCCTCGATCACCTCATATTTTCTTTCTGTCAGAAGTAAATTGCTGTTACGAAGCAAAATTGCACGTCCCGCATTCGTCGTAATCGACTTTTCGGCAGCATTAATTAACAGTGTACTTGCTTCGTTCAATGTGGAAAACATCCATACCTACTTACGGCGATGCTACAACACAATCAATAGTATGTACAAGACTAAACAATTACGTAATATGACATTTTTACGATTGTGCTGTTCGCATGCAATGAAAGCATTTTCACGTGGTCTGTTCAAGATAAATGTTTCGAAAGAAGCTCATCACCATTTAATGACTTTCTTCGCTATACTACTAAATTCGACAAACATTGCCGGTATTTTTGATTTATATCGATGTATTATACATATTTACGGAGATCCATACTGTGACACTCCATACACAACATTGGCTTCACTTTTGAATAAATCCGAATTAGATGGGTTTGACGTTGAACCATATTTAGAAGAATGTAATGTTCAAGATGATAAAGAGCTGAAACAAGATTTTTTGGATGAAACTGACATCACAACGGATGCAATCATTCGACAATCACCATTTAACATCAAAGCACGCGCCGACATTCCAGCATTAAGTAGATTTTTCGAACGAAAAAAACTTGATGAAGAGCCACGTAATCAACTCTACTCGGCAAAAGTAGTTCATTTATTACACAAATGGTTTGCTTATATACCGCTTTGGTCCGGAATACTGGTTGGCTTTTATGAAAGGTAAGTCTTTTCAAACAAATAATCTAGCTGCTATTGATTATAATTAGATACGCAAAAGATAAAAAAGCTGTATCTACAAATCAATGGCAATTCGGATACGGCCGCGTGTCGAATGCTTCTATTGAAACATATTTCCGAACTATAAAGTCATCTGTATTGGAACATCACACTACCCTGCGACCGAATGAATTCTTGATGCGAATTCATAATCATGTTATAGCTCGTATGAAAGGCGACCAATTTGGTGTCGCGCCAGCATCACACGGCCGAAGGAAAAAGAAGGACGAAGCAGATGATTTGAACATATTGGACAAATGGAAGCGAAGACAAAAGAAAAATCCGAAAGGTAGCAAACAAACATCACATTTTAATGACAATGTCAGTAAAATGATTGCGTGTAAAATAGCGTAAGTTTTCATCGTTAAATTTTTCTTGCTGATATTTTTAACAATACGCATTTACTAGTAAGGGGAAAAGTCGTGAAGAAATTACACCTGACCACAATCTAACTCCATCACCAAACCAGATTTGTCTTTCTCCAAAAAAGACAAGAACTGTCGAGTATGTATTTATATGGCGAATGGCTGAGAAATTGTCAATTTTTACCCTGAAAGTCTTGCATGTGTTACACATGAGCTCGTTGATGATGAAGAAGACAATCACTATGTAGCGTGAAACATAATTAACTCATCAGTCACACCTTGTTAATTGATGCCTCTGTATTGATCAATTAGCCTATGCTCTGCAAAAAGCTTGATGAGTGATAGGAAGAAAAAGTACAGCACTAATGACAGTGAATACATTTTTTTAAATTGCTTTTTCTCTGTGAAACAATTCTTCAAAAACTTGTGCAAACAAAATGGTCAAACTCAAACGAACTTCTTGTCTCACACAGGATACACAGCTACAAACTATTAGCATATCTAGCTAAAAAGGCAAATGCCTGTTCAACTTCCATCTCTTTGATAGTATTATGGTTATCGACAAATATTCTGATATTGATTGTATTTAGTGACTCAGACTCCGATAAATCAAGAAATTCTTTTAATGATTGTTCGATTGGATTTTCTGTTTTTTCATCACAAATGCCGTGTATAGTCGACGTCATCTCTTGTGATCCTGAAACGAATTCGCCGTCCACATCGCCAATCAAAATCGATGCACCGCCGATCACGAATTCTTCTTCTTCTGATAATATCTTTTTGGCCTTATCGGCTATTACTAATTCGCATTTATCACGAGCATTTTGTTCGAAACGCTTACATTCTTCATCAAATAGTGACCGCTCTACTTCCACAGAGCAACTAATGAAACAACCGTGTCCGAAAAAAACAAGCACATGACACCATATACGATCGAAAGTAACCTACTTCAGAATACAAAAGACTGCCGAACAACTATGATCGGTAATCTTCAGCTTACATGGCCTTCATATGGGATTGAGAATGCAACATATGCGGGCAAATCTTATTTTATATTTCACACGTGCACTGTTGATACAGGCCTATTTATCTTGTATCACGCATATCAAGCTCACTCGGACGAATTTCGCGCTCTTTTCACATCTGACGCTCTTCATATTTATACAGTTATCCGTCGTACCTTTCAACTGGTCGAAACAGAAGGATGGACTATAGCTCGTCTGTATTGGCTTACTGAACATAATCTTCTTACAAATAAGCATTCGAACGGCAAATATGACCTTATGAATACGATGGAAGCAATTGTCTTTCAATTCGTCAAACCTATGCAAACGTTTCCTATTAAGTCTCAATGTTCATGTAATGTTTGTCCGAAGCGAATCCGTGAGCACACAAATGTAGATATATCACTGATGTAAGTTTATTCAAATTATACTCTGCCTACAGTGAAAGAGAAAACGGAGAAACATGTGTACAACACGGCACTTATTGATAATGAGCGAACGTAATCAAGAACCACAGACAACGAGATAAGAATATGTCGAATATGTTCAATTCGTGACACCGAACTTTTTCTGATTGAATTGAGGGTGTGAGTATTCTTTTTGAAACAGACTATTCGCTCATTGATAGCATTCTCTTTTTTTCATCATAACAATCTATATTTTATTCGATATTATAAACATAGGAAAACCAATGGAAAATTCCTGAACTTCCTACCATCTTTTGCCACCACAAGAGAACATCCGTGCAGAGCAGATCTTGGTAGTGTTAAACCGCGAAAATATCCTGAAAAATATTCCATCGATGAAAAATTCCCAGTGGTGGATATAGCGACAAATATTACTCATATACAGTATGTAATGAACTTATTAACTTTCTTCTAAACGATATTTCTCAATTTAGAAAACGTTACATATGCGAAGCTAATCGAACAGTCGGCAAAGCAAAGTTTTTGCATCAATCACCATTTGTTATTGTTGACGTTGGATTCGATCCTGCATTTGTGCGAGATTTGCCAGACCCATTGTATATTGGTGAACACACGTAAGCTCTCAAGCCTTCTATAAACTTTCTTAATGTTACCTCATGTTTAGGTATAACCTCTCCGCGGCTATCAATAATACAAACCAACACTTCACAGCTATGATCAAAGCACAAGACGGCAGTTATTACCATTTTGATGACACACATCATAAAGGATGCATCAGTCACGACGGTCGTATTCTCGTCGAATTAGCATTATATGTACTTCAAATGTAATCATGACACTTTCTGAATGTTGCATATACAGCTGGAGAACATTTGCCCTGACAATCACAAAGAACAAATTCATTTTTCTCCACATACATGTTATTGTTTGCGTCAATATATGCTATTTGCATATATTTTCTCGTCTACCTTGATCATTTTTCTCTATGGTCCGCATCTTTCTTTTCTATATCACATGATTTCTTCTATTTCATTATCTACGCCGAAGCTATTTTCGCGGTATCTCTTCTTAATTGTACACATTTAAAAAAATACAGGCGTACTCACAATTGTTCGGAAAAACCATATGCACCCTTATCTAATTCTAGTATCGATTCATTTTTATTTCCTCTGAAGAACGCAATATCACTCGGCTGACAACATTCAATGCAGAATGACGCGATCCATTCATCCCAGGAGTTTCGCACTCATCCCAAGTACTGGAGCGAATGTCAGCAGGATATACTAGTGAATATCACTATTTTACTACTATTTATCGGTAGAAGCCTCACTTATGGGCGATGACCCCCACTTGTCTTACACCATTCGATGCAGAATGACGAGATCTATATATCCCAGAAGTTTCAGAGATATCCCAAGTAGTGGGGCGAATATCAGCAGGATATACTAGTAAAACTCACTATTTTACTACTATTTATTGGTGGACGCGTTACTTTCAGTCGACGATACCCCACTTATGTTACACCATTCGATGCAGAATGACGAGATCTATATATCCCACAAGTTTCAGAGATATCCCAAGTACTGGAGCGAATGTCAGCAGGATATACTCGAATCCGCTGCTAACTTCCATTACGTCCATTCATCAGCAACTTACCATCATAGTTTTTTATCAGCAGATAACAACCGGCTCGTTCAGCCAACAATTTCGATAGCTCATCGACATCATTTGAATTTTCTAGAATCGTTCCCAGGTCGATCATTCCGGCGACTGCACCCGTTGAAATCTGAGTCGGATTCGGTAGAGCTCTTCTCGGAAATGGTCGGAAAACGAACCTAACCGACCGGAACCGATCGTGCCATAATAACCTGGGTTGTAGTTGTTGAACTATTCAGTAAACGTGTAAACCAATTGTTAAGATGATTACGCAAATGAAATAACAGTACACGTGATGTGTATATAAAAGAAGAAAAAAATCTCAACCAGTAGTGCCAAACTCGAAACTTGAATTCAAGTATTCAACTATTCGAGTGTCCCAGTATTCGATTTTTGGGTACGTGCGCTCAGAAGGCCTGCGGCCCTCTTCGCTACCTACGGAGTTGCCGTCTCATATAAGTCAGATGCACGGGATGCTACTAGCCAGCGCGTGGTATATTATTTCCGCAACAAAGTAGACGTCAAGCCTCCTCTGGGTCAAAGGACGTGTCGACGGATACTTCTCGACGATAGCTATTACAAGCACTAAACGCATAGCGAGCAAACGAACGTTTTTCTCTACACATACATATATGAACGAAGAACACAGCGAAATGTAGCGCCCCTATACATCGGGCATTAGCGTTTCTGTCACCACACTTTGTTAAACTCAATTTAACACGAAGCCAACTTTGCATGTATAATGTTCCCGATAGCTATGCCCAATATTTTCACCTTCGCTTTCCCTCAGAAACCAGCCAACTCATCGCTACTTACACGATAACCCCTCAACACCCTCCCCTGCACCCTCAGAGCACTGGAATAATTGAATACTCGAATTCAAGTTTCGAGTTGTACATGTATGATATATGAATATTTCATATGATACTACAAGAATGAGTTCATTATTTTTCACATATATTCAAAATATTCAATCCGAAAACAATGATAATATTTCGATTTTTTTTCAAAACAGGATCACTAGTAATTGAAAAGACCTCATCTTTATTGTTTCAGCCAGTGTCCAATGATCCTGAAATTGAAGATTGCTATTCATTAAAATCATTGATTATGCCAGAGGAAATTATTGACTTGAATGCAGTAAATCCATCTCATAAACCGATACATCCATCACAAGTTACTAAAGTAGTGACATTCAATCAAGTACACTCGATTCTCTATGGAGATCCATCGACAAAACTAATTTATAATTACACAAGAAAATATTTTCAAAAACATTTGGATTTATCATATCCACATACTTTTCTTCAAAGAGATTTATTCTTTGGAGTTATTCGAAAACTTCATCAATCTTTGAAAGTTCAATTTGTTGTTGAAGTTGGATCATTTACTGGAAACTCCGCTATTCGAATGGGAGGTATTTTGAAACAATCTTATCCAGGCTCATTTCTTCTTTGTATTGACACTTGGCTTGGAGGTTAACCAATTCTCTTTTTCNTTACACCATTCGATGCAGAATGACGAGATCTATCCATCCCAGGAGTTTCACACTCATCCCAAGTACTGGAGCGAATGTCAGCAGGATATACTCGAATCCGCTGCTAACTTCCATTACGTATATAACGGCTCTCCAGTACAAAATAATATACTGATCAACAGATCATTCGCAAAAAATACTGATCATTTAAATACAACCGATTAAGTAACAATGATTTTAGTTTTGCATCAGACACAATCCACCTTGAGGGTAGAGATGAGAATGAAGAAGAATACTCATTTCTATCTCCACCAACACCCTCACACCCACACCCCTGTTCCATCTTTTGCTGACACATAGTGACATCCCTAACAATCATATGTGTGCTTTCCTATTGGTTAGAGAATGAAGAATCTATTCAACTGCTATGAGTCAACAAGATTTGATTACGAAACCGTAAGTTACACGTAGATCGAAAGCACTCTAGTTCATTTCGTAACTGATTCATCTTTTGTTGCAAATCGCGACGTCACTAGACTTCTTTTCCGTTTGATATTTGTTATGGATTCAGCTTGACGACGAGAGTGTTTGCGTAGAAAAAAAAGAATGGTTTTTCTCTCGACATTCTTCAGATTTCAAACTGTAACATAACCCATTTTAATTTCTCACTACCAGTCAGACTTATTGTTTGTTTTACAATCTGTATGGCAAATGAAGAACAGGACAATACACATATGAGAGAACAGACAACAGCCACCTTCCAACAAACAAATCTACGTAGTCGCATCAACATTCAACAGGCGCAAGATATTGTTATAGTCTGGCTAAATACATGCATTGATACCACCAGTCCAGACTATCAGATTGCAATCGCACAACTTCAGAATATTGTCGATGAAGTTTACACATTCACTGACAATGATCAATGCATTGACTTCATTCTCAACAATGACAAGCAGACGAAAATATGTCTCATCATCTCAGAATTGCTTGGACCACATCTTGTGCCGTGTATACATGAGATATCGCATATTGACTCGATCCTTGTCTTCTGTGACAATCCAAATGGACATGAACAATGGGCAAAAAAACGATTCAAAGTGAAAGGTATTTTTACCGAAATGACTCATATTTGTGAACACATAAAACACATCATTCGTCGATACGAACTCAATATCATTCCCATGAGCTTTGTGGCATATGGCAAAAGATTAGATCGACTCGATCCATCATTTATGTATACTCAAATCATTAAAGAAATCCTGTTGACCATCAGATTTGAAGATAAACACATAAAAGAATTTGTTGATTATTATTGTAATAAGTTTGCTGAGAATGAAATCGATCGAAAGAAAGTGAAACAATTGGAATATGAATATCATAAGCACACTCCTATTTGGTGGTATACGAGTGAGGGATTTCCTTATAGTGTGCTGAACCGTGCATTGCGGCTGGTGGGTGGTGAAGTGATTACATTAATGGGCTTTTTCATCAAAGATCTTCATCGACACATTGAAGAACTGCACAGGGAACAGTTTCTTGATACTTCGATTGCTGCATGTCTCACAGTTTATCGAGGTCAATATTTGGCGACCAAAGACTTTGATGAACTGGTGGCATCCAGAGGTGGACTAATGTCATTCAATAATTTCTTGTCAACCAGTCAAAATCGCCATGCTTATCTACTATTCACTCCAACAAATAGGATAAACCGTAGCGTTGTTAGTGTTCTATTTGTGATGACAGCAGATTCGAAACAATTAACAACACCATTTGCTTCGGTTCGACATGTCAGTCAGTATCCCGAAGAAGAAGAGGTGCTGTTTTCGATGCATAGCATCTTCCGCATAAACGGTATCAAGCCAATGGTAGAAAATGAAGAAATGTATGAAGTGGAGTTATCGTTGACTAACGACAATGATGAAGAATTGTGTGCACTCACAGATCAGATTCGAAAAGAGAGTATTCCAGACGCAGAAGGATGGATGCGATTGAGTATCATGCTTTCGAGCATAGCACAATCAGATATGGCTGAACGAATCTGTCGAAATCTGATGAATGAAAACATGTACGAAGCCGATGCGAAAGATATTTACAATCAACTGGGATCGATCAAATACCAGCAAGGACAATATGAAGAGGCCACAAAGTTATATAAGAAATCACTTGAACTTCGAATGAAATCACTTCCTTCCAATCATCCTGACGTCGCATCGTCGTACAACAACATTGGCTTAGTGTATTCTGCCATGGGCGACTATCCAAAAGCACTTTCATCGTACGAACAAGTTCGCAATATTCAAATGCAATCACTTCCTCTCAATCATCCAGATTTAGCTATATCCTACAACAACATTGGTAATGTTTATTCCGACACGAATGATTATGCAAAAGCGCTCTCATTCCATGAACAAGCTCTAAAAATTCGACAAGAGTCACTGTCTTCCAACCATCCTCATGTAGCATCATCCTATAACAACATTGGCAATGCGTATTTCGACATGCGCGATTATCCAAAAGCACTGGCATCACAAGAACAGGCTCTCAAAATTCGAATGCAATCACTTCCTCCGAATCATCCTGATATTGCTTCCTCGTACAACAATATTGGCAACATCCATTTCGCCATGAACGACTATCCAAAAGCACTTGCATCATATGAGCAAGCTCTTAAAATTCGGCAACAATCACTTTCTTCCAACCATCCTGATGTGGCTCTATCGTACAACAACATCGGTAATGTGTATTTGCAGATGAACGATTATTCGAGCGCTTCGATGTTCTATAACCACGCGCTCAGTATTGGGCAACAATGTTTACCTTTGACTCATCCTCATCTTCAACTGTATAAAACAAATGTGGAAGCTGTACAAAACAAATTCTAATTTTTTTGCTTCTCGTGTATAATAAAGACAATATATGCATACAGACACAGTCGGTATATATTCACGAACAAAAGGAATGACTAGATAACAAGTTGGCTTCGGTTCTATCCGCCGTGACATAGTGACGTACATAGATAGTTAAAATATTTGTAATTACATCGTATAAATACAGGAAACTAGAAAAGTGGTTTTTAATAGATCAGAAAAATGCTTGATATAGGTAAAATTGATAGACAATATAATGGCTGGACCATGTTTACCTTTATGATTGATACTGTCCATGCTGTTTTGTAATATGCGTCAACGATAGTACATAACACTTCGAATCCTCCGTCAGATGGATTATCGTGTGATGAATTTCTATCGCAGTTTGCATTCAATATTAATCTAGCACTAGATCTGTATGTAGTTCATTTGAAACAAAAAGTGCCAACGAAGATTTTCCTTGCGTTACCATTTGAAAGTATGGATACAGTTTGAACTGTTTTTATGTTTACGTTAGACGCGCATTCATATATCCAAAAATCGTTCACTGTTAAAAATCCATCTCACAATCTACAGAACTCGTTGGTATCGAAGAAAGAACTACCTCACTCCAACAATGTTGTTGATTTCAGTGCTAATTACAGCAAATATCGTTGGTTCTGTATTAGGAATTCGATCGAAGCAAGTGGCAGAGTACAGCACAACAATTAAAAGGAAGTTAATGATGTTTTAAACACTTCACGTCTGTGAAAAACTCTGACAAAACTTCTGCACAAATCCGTTTACAAATTTCTGAATACATCAAACTGCAAATATCCGTTGTTTTTCATTGGAGGGATATTACTAATGATCAAATGCTCAATCTCGCAGCGACAAATTCGCAAGACGACGAAGTGACGTTACTATGGAACACATCAGATGGAATATTTATTTACAGAAATGGATGAATTATTTCGTCGATCAAAATCCTGTCTGTATCATGTCAGGGAATTTAAACAATGATACAAACATAGATGTGATTATAGATAATGGAGGTGATTATTCTATCGGTGTACTATTTGATTATGGAGATGGAACATTTCATTCTCTTGTGTCAATATCATTCGCTCTTTTCCGACGTTAATTGCAATGAACGACTTCATCAATGATGACATAATAGACTTAGTTGTCTTGTGTTTCGCGGATAAAATCATGAATTAAACAATCTGTTCAAGTTTTATCAATTGATGTGATTACAAACGTATGTTTCTCTGGCAAGTCGATGTAAGAAACGAATTACGAAATGAATAGAAACTTTCGATATTCTATGGGCACTTGGTTCAGTAATCTATAAATGAAAGAAAAATCTGTTAATACTATCGTTCTTGTACGAAGCGCAAACACTGTACCCGTGCGGAGCTCAATATTTAAATAAGCATACGCCCTCAAGACAGATTTGAAAATATTTAAAGAACAGTTAGCTCATTAGTTACCACATTCTGAAAGTGGGGCCAACGTGCGGCTCCAATGACGAAGTGCAGTGTTCAACAATTTTTGCGTGTGATAAAAACTAAACTCGGAACCAAATTGACTTGCAAACGAGATACTTTTGTTTGTACCACATATATTTAGTAATTCCAGATCTTGCACATCGATTAATTGTTTCATTATGTCAGGATCACCATACACGGGTTCGCCACCAATTATAACAAGTGAAACATCTTCAGGTTTTGCATGCGTTGCAGCCCAATAAGGATCCTTGCTCGATTGAATGTTATTCTGATCTTTTAACACAACTATATCTGCAAGGTAACCTTCTTTCAATTGACCCAAACGTGTATCTAAATGAGTTAATTTAGCCGGATTAACAGTAGCCATTTTCAACAGCAAACGATCATCGAATAGTGACTGATCTAAGCCACCATTCCAAGTAGCGGCATAGTTTAATTCGCTAAGTAAACCATCACTACCAGTGGGACTCCAATCTGGTGCAATCGCTGTAATAACATGGCTCTCTAATGCTGCTTGCAAGTTCGTTGTATCACCATAGAGTTCTAAATTACTACGTGGAGACCAAACTAAGCCAACAGTAGTATTTGCCATGGTACGAAACTCATTCTTTTTTAGAGCAACGCCATGAATGAGAGATACGCCTGGGACCAATAAACCACGCGCTTTTAGCATTGAGAATTCTCTTGCTGCTGTTGCATCATTTGGTGCACCTTCGGCGAGATGAATAAACAACGAACCATTTGAGGACAGAACATCTTTGACTTCCTCCATCTCCAGTTCAGTCATTTGTAATGGGAAAACATTATAAAGAATACGTCCAAGAGTCACTTCATCGTCAAGATTACGTACTAATCCTTGATTACAAGGTCGTCTCAAACTACCAATGATGCTCGTTGTACCTTGCGTAATTGCTTTCACTTCTGCATAACGCTGCATCTCACATGAAAGTCCTGCTTCGACTAGTCCTTTGTGTGGTGACGATAAAAGCGTCTTGTAAATGGATTTCTGCTGCCAATCATATCGACTACCAAATTCTTCTGAGGGTTTCCAACGTGGAAAAATATTCCATGTCATATGATTATGCAAATCAATTAAACCGGGAAATATAATACCATCAGTATGCAAAATAAATGCATCATCTGGAATTCTGATTTCCGTCCCGAGTGCCGCAATACGATCGTTAACGATTACTAAAGTACCGTTCTTAATACTTTCGTCAGCCAAAAGAAGAGTTCCGATCAGTGCAATAGATTTTCTTTGCTCGAGAGTATAACTTACTAAGGACAATATTAGAAACAAAGAGAACCAGTGAAACATGTTTCCGTTCGAAAATATTCAATGAAGAAGAGACATTATTTACCAGTTATAAAATATACAGTCATCGTCAGTAAATATCAGCATATAATCTTTGTATTATTTGATTTTATATGTCGCGAATAATTCCTATAGTAGGCAAATGACATTAAAAATATATCTTCGATCAATATTTTCGTCTCATCATCGTAGAATCAAAGGTGAGCTACGAACAGCTTGTGAAAAATGCTGTTCTATTTGTTAGCTCCATTTATTCATTCGAGATCTTGAGATGAAGATGTGCAGAGTCTGATTAGTATTTTATTAATTGATGAAATAAGACGTGTATACTATAATATTTGCTGAAAATGTCTACTTAATCGTGCAAAAGAGAAGATTGACACCATCTACGCTCATATATCTTAAATAAGTAATCGAGATAATTTCTAGTTAGATTGATTTCTTCTTTAAGGGTCAAGCAATTTTCATTGTCAGTTGGCTTTCTTGTACTAAACAAATACAAGATAAAACGTACCGACAGACATAGCACGGGATGTACACCATCGTCTGTCTCATCGGCATCGAAAAAGTCGAATACGGACGGCAAATCGTCTGCAGTCATTGCAGGAATATTGTCATTGGTATTATTCGAGTGTCTAGTTGACAATTCACGTTTCTTCTTGTGATAATGACAAGTATCTGCATCGAACGTATTCCATCGAAATTTATTTTCACTTCGTTTCGATAACAAATTCTTGATGTCATGATTTTGTAGTCGAAGAAGATGACCAACTATGATCCAAACATTTTGATTACAATCGTAAATTACAGAAACAAGACGAAAGATAATACCATATGTGAGCAAGACTTCGTATTCATTAGGTACAGCACTATGTTCAGCAACATACGCATACGGTCGTGTATTATTTATTGTAGGATGAAGATGAAATTCGAATAGAACTGGAACAACTTGATCATTAGCAGAACTAATGGCATATCCTAATGCCATCTCTCGATCGACTGTGGTTGAGGTAAAACTAGATAATGCAAGGAGTTGATTAGTTTTGTATTGAAGATAATGAAGTTCTGAATGAGACAAGCCTTGTCCACGATAGACGATCAAATCTTCGACTTCATTACAATAGTGTCGATCCATATTCGTGATTTCATCGTTAAGTTCATTGATGAAGAAACGATAAGGATAAATGAGGTCTGGATCACCTGTACGAAGAACACGATTGATCAATCGGTAAAGAAAGGAATCGCCTGCAAAATAAATTATATAGTCTATTTCCCATACGATTATATACTTACGTGTGTACCAATGAATTGCTTTGCCTTCTTTTTGTGCGTCATAGTTTTTATCGAACTCTTCGATACGTTCTAATTGTTGTGCATTATCATGATAAATACATTGGCATTCAGTTATCATTTCTTGTTTCATTCGCTCCCGATCGTGTGTATTGCGTGTTAAAGTTAGGTATAGATCTAAATTTGCCATCAGAGAGATATACGGAGTGTATTTCTCGTTGATATACTGCACAGATTTCTCGAGAAGATGGATTGGTCCACTAGTTTCGGCGCGCACATCATTACGAACACGAAGTATAAGTTTATCTGTTTCTTCCGAATTGATTTGATAAATTTTCTTCACGTTCGTAATTTCTTGAAACTTTTCAATATCTTCTAAGTCGTACACTATCAGATAAATGGTAACAGCTGTTGCTTTAATTGAAATTAAATATTTTAAACACTCTGATTGATTTTCAAAAATGATTAATGAATCAAAAACTGATCTTAGACCATCGATGAGTACATCCGAGTTAACCTTCGATAATGACAATGACGATTTAAGAAAACCAATTTGATAGCAGCTCGGATCGATGTCAAGTGTTGAATTGATCTTATTTTCGTCCTGGACTTTACCGTTTAGAAACCTTTCACCTATGTAATGAACATAATTCGTTGACAGAAGATCCAATATATGATGGTGGATGTGATGTTCGTACTTGAATCGTCGCAGAATAGTAGATATAGGATGTTCATCATCAATCAAGGGAGAGGTCGGGCCGATAAACTAGCAATAGAGAGTGAGTATAACTATATTAGTAAATTTGAAAGTTACTTTGTCATCAAAGGAGAGATTGGAAATGATAAATAAACGATCGAAATTTGTATCCAGTGTATAAAGAAAATCTAGACAGCTTTCAACATTATCAAAAATGTAAATTTGTTTGAAAAGAACAGTTAATTCCGTTCTTGTTTGTTCTTTTACTGTTTTATCAAGCTTCTCATCATGCAACCAAACAATTTTATATTCATCGGAACCTTCAATGTAAGTAAGTGGTAATCGTTGTCGATTGATATCTGCCGGATGAATTTGAAACGTTACCTCGGCACTACTAAGCAGTATGTCCAACATACCAAACTTGCTTTCAAGTCCTATATCTATTGATGATAGTTACTATGGTTACTGTAGTATCAACGGATAAAAAATAGAACACTCACCATCAGTCGTATTTGTTTCTGTTTTCTCACATTTTGCTGGAGAATTTTCTTCCGTCGTTTGATTGATCGAATGCCTGTGTTCAATTCCATCCGATTCCGAAGATGAGCCATGGTCACGATCGCTACAGTTCTCGTTGTGACTATGTTCTACTCCCATTTTACTCTCTATATACTTCAAAATAAATCAACGCTGTACGTTTTCTCTTCTACCGTGCTGTGTTACGAGTAACATTGCATTTTATAGTATAGTCTGTGCATAGTTCTTAATCAACAGCAACTGCTACGTCTGTCTGTTTGTCGGGATAAAAGTAGGATTTTTGCGTTCTACCCTCAAAATGTGCTTGCGAGAACGAAACATCAGAGATAAGAAATACGAAACGGTCCACAAATGTTATTTTATCCACATAGAGAAAAATACTCGAGTTAAAAAAAGAAAATACAACGGTCGCTTATCTGTTTTTTTCTCACCTTATCGCCGTTTTTCGCCGTATATTGGGCTTCCATCCAATAGATTTCTCAAACCAATGACAGACGGAAGGAACCAGATAACAAATATAGCTATTTTTCATCTCTCTCTATTATTTTACACCCACTACAGCACAAGTTTCTCGCGCAATAAGAAAAATCTGCTAGTGAACAAAGTTTCTTGATAGATGCAACATTTAATTTAGAAGTGTACGCACTCCTTCATACATGGCCGGCATCGGCCATGTTCACTTTTGCATTTTGCTTTGAATAAAAAGGATGAGGTTATGAATGAGCATTGAAGCAGCGCATATCATGTCTACGACTGAATTCAGTGATTATTCTCTTGTGCTATCGTATGGTACAAAATTCATATGTGTTGAAGACCAAATAAAAGCATTCTCGTCTCCTAGAAATTCATGAGAAGATAGTCAGAAAGTGTATACAAATTAATAATCAGAAATGTACTTTCATCATAAAACTCTGCTACTTGACAATCATTGATACTAAATATTAACGATATAAGAGTCACTTTATCTTTTATTCCATAAATTCTTTTCGTTTCTCGTGAGTTAAATTCAAACTTCGACAAAACTGTTTGTACACCAATATGAGAGTTATTAAATAAATCAGCATGTAGTATGTTATCATAAAACATCCACATGTTCAACTCATCAATGTCAATATGCAAATTCTCGTTACTGTCGAGAAGTGAAGCCTTATTTAATAATGTTCCTTTCACACATTGATAAAATTCTATAGAAATAATGAATATCAATGAAGGAAAAGATAAGTTTCAGAGATGAACTCTCACTTTTCTCCTTTGATTATCAGAAAACAGTTCAAATTACAAGTAGTGTCTTATCATTGATCAATAATCTAATAATACATTAGAGATATGAACGAACTTTAAATTAACATCTATATATTTAGAATTCAATGAACAAATTCCTTTTGTAGCTGCTAAGTATATGATGGAAGATCAATGAAGATAATCATAATTTTTCGAATCATTCTACTTTCATTCCTTATAATTACGACAAGAAAAAAAAACATGAAAGAGAAATAAAATAATATCTTTGAAGGACTTTTCAAGAAATAACACATCAATTGTAAGTAGTCGAAGAGAAACTACGAATTATCGAGTTTCTTTATTAATAGAGTATAAAACTGATCAATCTGTATTCAATGATTTTATATTCTTTACGGATTCAAACAAAACTTCGCTTAACTATTTATTTGATTCAACAGAGACGTCTTATTATCTTACGGGCGGTGTTTGGCTACGTGATATATCACAAGGACTAATGTCAACAGCTTCCGATCAACTCTTCTCTAGAAATCTTTGTTAATGAGATGGGCAGTAGAGATATTTTGGAAAATTATTATAATGTCTTTTTGAACAATCTCGAAAGTCTTAGTGTCAAAGTTCCATCGATATTTTCCCGTGAATTCGTTGATCAATAATCGATCTTTGAAGTTATTTTGAAAAAAATATCCAAACCAGAAATCTTTGATTATACATAAAGTTTTGAGTCAATGTTCCAAGAGTTTTAATCTGTGAATTTTAGTGGTTTGAAACCACATCACCAGTTCACCATACTAGTCTACAAAAAAATACTTGTGCGATATAATTTAAATCCTGGTTTTCTTACTTTTACATACTATGATTGATAACAATTTCAATAGATACAAACGGTATGCTTTGAGATGAAATAACAATATATTTCAATCAGATCATGACGACACAAAGTGAAAAGGTTATTCAAACACATTGGGATAAGATATCTTGGCAGAGAGAATGATGTTTGTTTTCACAAAGATATGTCGTCTATAAAATGACTGAAAATATTGATAATGTTCTTGAACAATATTTTGAGAAACAAAAAATAGTAACTCTACGACAAGAAATGATTAATTCGATTCGGGTGGATTCTGAAGGACATTTGCTCAATGAACTATTTAGTTTTGACAACGCTGAAATGTTATGCGATCAGCTTGAAAATTCTGATCTCAGCGTCAAAGCGGATCTTGATGACAGTAAATCTCTTAACTATTCCATTGGTTTTCATTTCAATTATGAAATGAGAAAAATGAAGACGATTTTCAAATACTTTTGAATAGACAAAGATTGATTAAAGAAAATGTTGATACGTGTNCCTGTTGACCATCAGATTTGAAGATAAACACATAAAAGAATTTGTTGATTATTATTGTGACAAATTTGCTGAGAATGAAATCGATCGAAAGAAAGTGAACCAATTGGAAAATGAATGTCATAAGCACACTCCTATTTGGTGGTATACGAGTGAGGGATTTCCTTATAGTGTGCTGAACCGTGCGTTGCGGCTGGTGGATGGTGAAGTGATTACATTAATGGGCTTTTTCGTCAAAGATCTTCATCGACACATTGAAGAACTGCACAGAGAGCAGTTTCTTGATACCTCGATTGCTGAATGTCTCACAGTTTATCGAGGTCAATATTTGACGACCAAGGACTTTGATGAACTGGTGGCATCCAGGGGTGGACTAATGTCATTCAATAATTTCTTGTCAACTAGCCGAAATCGCCATGCTTATCTACTATTCACTTCAACAAATAAGATAAACCAGAGCGTTGTCAGTGTTCTATTTGTGATGACAGCAGATCCGAAACAATTAACAACACCATTTGCTTCGGTTCGACACGTCAGTCAGTATCCCGAAGAAGAAGAGGTGCTGTTTTCGATGCATAGCATCTTCCGCATAAACGGTATCAAGCCAATGGTAGAAAATGAAGAAATGTATGAAGTGGAGTTATCGCTGACTAACGACAATGATGAAGAATTGTGTGCGCTGACGGATCAGATTCGAAAAGAGAGTATTCCATACGCAGAAGGATGGATGCGATTGAGTATCATGCTTTCGAACATAGCACAATCAGATATGGCTGAACGAATCTGTCGAAATCTGATGAATGAAAACGCGCACGAAACCGATGCGAAAGATATTTACAATCAACTGGGATCGATTAAATACCAGCAAGGACAATATGAAGAGGCCACAGAGTTGTATAAGAAATCACTTGAGCTTCGAATGAAATCGCTTCCTCCCAATCATCCTGATGTGGCATCGTCGTACAACAACATTGGCTTAGTGTATTCTGCCATGGGTGACTATCCAAAAGCACTTTCATCGTATGAACAAGTTCGCAATATTCAAATGCAATCACTTCCTCTCAATCATCCGGATTTAGCTATATCCTACAACAACATTGGCAATGTTTATTCCGACACGAATGATTATGCAAAAGCGCTCTCATTCCATGAAGAAGCTCTTAAAATTCGACAAGAGTCACTGTCTTCCAACCATCCTCATGTAGCATCATCCTATAACAACATTGGCAATGCGTATTTCGACATGCGCGATTATCCAAAAGCTCTGGCATCACAAGAGCGAGCTCTCAAAATTCGAATGCAATCACTTCCTCCGAATCATCCTGATGTTGCTTCCTCGTACAACAATATTGGCAACGTCTATTTCGCCATGAGCGACTATCCAAAAGCACTTGCATCATATGAACAAGCTCTTAAAATTCGGCAACAATCACTTTCTTCCAACCATCCTGATGTGGCTCTATCGTACAACAACATCGGTAATGTGTATTCGCAGATGAACAATTATTCGAGCGCTTTGGTGTTCTACAACCACGCGCTCAGTATTGGGCAACGATGTTTACCTTTGACTCATCCTCATCTTCAACTGTATAAAACAAACGTGGAAACTGTACAAAACAAATTCTAATTTTTTTGCTTTTCGTGTATAATAAAGACACAATATAATAGCTGGACCATGTTTATCTTTGATTGATATTGCTCACGCTGTTTTGTAATATGCGTCAACGACAATACATAATACTTCGGATCCTCCGTCAGATGGATTAACGCTTGATGAATTCCTATTGCAGTTTGCATTCAATATTAATCTATAGCACTAGATCTGTATGTAGTTCATTTGAAACAAAAAGTGCCAACGAAGATTTTCCTTGCGTTACCATTTGAAAATGCCCATACAGATTGAATCGCTTTTGTACTTACGTTAGATGCGCACTCATATATCCAAAAATCATTCACTGTTAAAAATCCATCTCACAATCTACAGAACTCGTTTGTATCGAAGAAAGAAATATCTCACTTCAACAGCTATCGTTGGTTCTGTATTAGAAACTCGATCGAAGCAAGTGGCAGAGTACAGCACAACAATTACAAGGAAGTTAATGATATTTTAAACACTTCACATCTGTGAAAAACTTTGACAAAACTTCTGCACAAATCCGCTCACAAATTTCCAAATACATCAAACTGCAAATATCCGTTGTCTTTCATTGGAGGGGATATTACTAAGGAACACATCAGATGGAATATTTATTACAGAAATGGATGAATTATTTCGTCGATCAAAATCCTGTCTGTATCATGTCAGGAGATTTGAACAATGATATAAACATAGATGTGATTATAGTTAATAGAGAAGATAATTCTATCGGTGTACTATTTGATTATGGAGATCGAACATTTCATTCTCTTGTGTCAATATCATTCGCTCTTTTCCGATGTTAATTGCAACGAACGACTTCATCAATGATGACATAATAGACTTAGTTGCGTTGTGTTTCTCGGATAAAATCATGAATTCAACAATATGTTCGAGTTTTATCAATTCATGTGATTACAAACGTATATATTTCTCTGGCAAGTCGATGCAAGAAAGAAACTTTCGATACTATACGGACACCTGATTCAGTAATCCATAAATGAAAGAAAAATCTGTTGATACTATCGTTCTTGTATGAAGCGCAAACGCTGTATTTAAATAAGCATATACGCCCTCAAGACAGATTTGAAAATATTTCAAGAACAGTTAGCTCATTGGTTACCACATTCTGAAAGTGGGGCCAACGTGCGGCTCCAATGACGGAGCGCAGTGTTCAACAGCTTTTGCGTCTGATAAAAACTAAAATCGGAACCAAATTGACTTGCAAACGAGATACTTTTGTTTGTACCACATATATTTAGTAATTCCAGATCTTGTACATTGATTAATTGTTTCATTATGTCAGGATCACCATACACGGGTTCGCCGCTAATTATAACAAGTGAAACATCTTCAGGTTTTGCATGCGTTGCAGCCCAATAAGGATCCTTGCTCGATTGAATGTTATTCTGATTTTTTAACACAACTATATCTGCAAGGTAACCTTCTTTCAATAGACCCAAACGTGTATCTAAATGAGTTAGTTTAGCCGGATTAACAGTAGCCATTTTCAACAGCAAACGATCATCGAATAGTGACTGATCTAATCCACCATTCCAAGTAGCGGCATAGTTTAATTCGCTAAGTAAACCATCACTACCAGTGGGACTCCAATCTGGTGCAATCGCTGTAATAACATGGTTGTCTAATGCTGCTTGCAAGTTCGTTGTATCTCCATAGAGTTCTAAATTACTACGTGGAGACCAAACTAAGCCAACAGTAGCATTTGCCATGGTATGAAAATCATTCTCTTTAAGAGCAACACCATGAATGAGAGATACGCCTGGGACCAATAAACCACGCGCTTTTATCATTGCGAATTCTCTTGCTGCTGTTGCATCATTCGGTGCACCTTCAGCAAGATGAATAAACAACGAACCATTTGAGGACAGAACATCTTTGGCTTCCTCCATCTGCAGTTCAGTCATTTGTAATGGGAAAACATTATAAAGAATACGTCCAAGAGTCACTTCATCGTCAAGATTACGTACTAATCCTTGATTACAAGGTCGTCTCAAACTACCAATGATGCTCGTT